GACCGCCCCAGCAGAGGTGGTGGGGTCCTTCTCTACTACCGCAACAAACTGCCATGTGCAATAGTTGATGATCTGGAAACTCACATTACAGACTCACTCTGGTGCCGTCTCCGACTATGATACAACGACGCATGTCTCGTAGCTGTCGTTTACCGCTCCCAACATCCACTCCGAGAATACAGTCCAGCTTGATACGTGCCTTGAACAGGGTAACAGGCACTAGGTCTAGCCAAATTCTCATCTCCGGGGACTTCAGTCTACACGATCTGGAGGTGTTGGCATCACCCAATGAAAAGTTCAAAGCAGACTTGCATGAACTTATCGCTAATCTTCCCTCGTACAATCATGTCACCATGCCCAATGGAATCAGGACAGCAAACAAACCGTCCATATTGGATCTTGCGCCTACGAAGGAAGTGTTCATGGTTGACAAGTTATTGATAGAGAGTCCATTAGGTATAAGTGACCATGTAGTAATAATGTTCAACTAGGTGTGTTATGCAGAGTATCCAGCTGAGCAATCTGAGCTAACTCATACAATCACACGCTACCACGTCTTGAAAGAACTCGTCGACGCATCTGCTTGGGAATTCTCAAACAACAGTCCCCTTGACAACGTTTGGACAGAGTTCGTTGAAAGACTCAGCGACATCGTCAACAGAGCATCAGAGACCAAGCCCCTTCGTCCCGCAAAAATGCCTTCAATTCTAAGGAGCAGGACTCGAAAATGCATGGCGATAAGGGATGCAGCATGGCGTGCCTACAAGGTTAACCCCGACTCAGAGACTTGGGGCAATTTCCTGACCCATCGCAACCATTGCACTGCACTTGTCCGTGAGGACAAAGTAACTTATCAACAGTGCCTAGCCAAAAAGTTTCTGGCAAACAACAAACTGCTGTATGGCCTTGTCAACAATCTTCGTAAAGTACAGCATGGCATCCCTCCACTTTGCACGACACGCGGTAGAGTACAAAGCGCCGAAGAAGCAGCTAATGCTCTGTGGCTACAATAAGCCCAAATTTTCGAACTCGCAGCCTCTAGCTGTCCCATAATATCACGCACATTACCGACTCCATTGTTTACACATGTAATTTTCAACCCATCAATTGTGCTAAGGAAGTTACTCTCACTGCGCGATCATAGCTCTCCGGGAGCAGACAACATCCGCCCGAAAGCACTGAAGGCTGCAGCCACCAAGCTAGCTGAACCACTGTCACAGTTCTTCCAAAGGTGCTTCGATGAACAGCAAGTCCCCACTATGTGAAAGCTTGGCATTATCACCCCAATTTTTAAGGGCGGTAGCCGTTCAGATCCTGCAAACTATCGCCCAGTGACTCTCCTCCCTGTGCTCGCGAAGGTGATGGAAGCGGTCGTCGCTGAGGCTTTAATGGACTACCTGGAAAAATGCAACATCTTGGCACCGGAGCAGCATGGCTTCCGTCAACACCGGTCATGCACCACCAACCTGCTAATGGCACGAGGTAGTTGGACGGAAGTGGCTGATGATGGGGTCGGAGTTGACGTCATCTATCTTTACTTATCCTAAGCTTTCGACCGCCTGGATCACCGCATCCTACTTCACAAGCTACAGAGCTAGGGAATCAGGGACCTTGTTCTTGGTTGGATTGGCAAGTTTCTTCACTAACCAAAGCTTTAAGTGCATGTGAGAGGATCATTATCTAACCTGGCTGAGGTGGATTGAGGGGCCGAAACTGCGCTTATTCCTGGTGTTTATCAATAGTTGCAATAGTTGTTTCCTAAATCCTTTCTTTTCGCCGATGGTGTCAAGATATGGCGGGCGATAAATAACAAGGAAGATCATGAGCTACTCCAACCTGACCTAGATTACATTTATGACTGGTTGACGAGGAACCTGTTAAGTCTAATGTGATCAATCTGCGTCACTAGCCGGTATTCCTGTCAATTGGTCGCGTGACGCGCGCTCCTGGATAATTGTATTACTTCTTTCTATTCGCCTTCCATTTTGTGCCACATCTTCGGAAGTACACTCAATCGACTCGGATCGTCGAAACCTATCCAACGGATTTAGTCTTTCTGCAATACTACTAACGACACACTGGTAAATCCTGAACACCGTCTTTGACAGTTCATTCGGTAAGACCTGCTTGTGAAACTGCGTTGTTTTTTCTTTTTCCCACTACTTTGGGATACCATTCGACGAAGTTTTTAAGGCTACTAGACAACACATTACTTATTGCAGTGCACCTCTAGATACCACAAATAGAGGCTATTTTGTGATCACGCAATTACCGCTGTAACTCCCTTAGCACGTTTTGCCACGCAAAGCCTTTGTGATATTTCACTGCCCACTGTTCACCGTGCGCACATGATGGGCCGACGCAGTGTCTCAGCTACGCAAATGAACAACAAATCCAAGGTCAATAGTGGTCCAGACACGTCGGTCACCACATGCTCGCTTTGTTCTAATTTCTTCGATGGGGCTACAAAACACTGTATGTCGATCGACGGCTTGTGTGTGTGTGTGACGCATGTTCAACCAAACCGTTGGCCAGGATCATTCAAGCGCTTATGGCGAAATGTGAAAGTTTAGCCCTAACGGTCACAGAACAAAAGGAATTGATCGCAAGCTTGGTAAGAAAAACGACTGAACTTGAGTCGCAGGTTAGTGTATTAAGTAGCCCGAATCCTAGACCTGTCAAAAGGCGAGAGCCATTTAGTAAAGAAGCCACACAGTACGGTGAAAATAACACACCATTGTTGATGGACGCCAGCGGAGACAGGCCCGTCGAACGACTTCCCAAATTTTGTGAAGTGTCTCAAGGCTTAAACAGCTATGCACGAACTGCACGCTCAACCCTGTCACGGGTTGCACAGCAACATTTGACCCCCACAAACAGCACAACAAACGGCGTTCCGCGTATGCAGTCATGTAGCAGCGCAGGCTCTCCCTGCACAAGGGACAAGATGAGTACTCAAACTAGACAAATGTCCACCAGTTACAACTCGCAGGATAAGCAGTTAGTGTACAACCATAAAGCTCTGACAATGATGTGTTCAAATGTACCAGAGCCCACGAGCGAGTCGTTAAAAGGTAGGCAAGTGGAAGAACAAAACCGCTGGGCAGAGATATGCTGTGCTCTCGAAATTAACGTTCCTCCAACTAGTCTTACGCGCATTTCCCGAAATTCATCCTCGCCGCATTTAGGACAACCTCAGTTATTACGAGTAACATTTGGTAACACACGCGACCTGGAGGATGTGCTCCTGACAGACCACAAGCTAACGAATTCCTCTCTCAGCTCCCTCATTTTCCCAGATAAACCGTGGGTAGAAAGGCAAAAATGGGTATCCGACCCAGTCGCGTCACGACATGATGCGACGAAGAAAGTAGTGCTGGTGCACTGTGCTCCAGAAGTTAACCATGGCGATATAAATGAACATCAAAAGCACGATATAGAAGAGTGGAGATACATAACGGAGCTCTACAACATACAAAATATCGTGACTTTCGATGTTACCCGTCTAGCGGCCTCCTTAAACTATCAGGGTAACGGGCCAAAAATTTTGAAAGTCACCGTGGCTACACCTGAGATGGTATCAACGGCCGTCCAAGCGTGGCACGACAACAGAAAACGTGGGCCACCTGAAGTACGTTTAAGACCGTTCCTAAACAAAGTACGGGCCACAGATACAGACGAACCGGACTCGGTTGTTCCTAACTCAGGTCAGACAAATGTACAAACGCCTCTGACAAAAAACGTACGCAAACCGGCACAATCCGTGCCGGTCAACCACAACGAACCGAGCTCCTAATGTGTCAGCAGATAGAGTGCTGCTACACAAACGATCAGGGGCTCAACTCTAAGCTACCTGAATTGCGCCATCGACATAACACAATCAATTGGGATATCATAGCTGTAACTGAAACCTGGCTCTCCAATGACATGCTCGACACGGAAATCGTAAGGCAGGCGTAAGGGCAGGCGTAACTTGCATGGAAGTGGAGGATAAGACGCGCTATATCGCAGTTAGTATGTAAATCATGACGGTCCGAAACTGTCCCCCGTGGCCCAGTTGCATAAGCTGCTGACTGGCGGTTCAAGCCGCTGGTAGTCATGGGTTCGAATCCTGACGGATCCGATGGATGCGCACTACTGACGATGCCCAACAGGCTGAAACTGCAGTCTAGTGCTTTTCCGGGCACGTGGACGACTAACTTCACCTGTGTCTGTAACAGCTCCTTGACTTATGTCTCAGTTTTCAAGTTTATCGCCCTCACTAGTATCAATTCACCTGGCCTGATGAAGTTTCTGTTTCGAAAGCATGCAGTTTCCAACCGATTGTTCACAAATCTCTCTGAAACCATGATCTATATGGCAATTTTCTCAAAACTGAAACACTGCAGCCTCACTTCTTGCTAGAATGTGTGTCTATAAATGGTTGGCAGCATGTAGAAGTAAACATGATCATAGTGGGTGGTATGGTGCTGAGTAGAATGCTATTCAAATAGCAGGGTTCATGCCATCATGATTTGCCATTCCAGGTCTTGGACACTCAGCAGGAATTTACTGGATGGGGATTAGTCGGTTCATACACACTGACATTGGAATGCGTGCCCCTGTAAAGCGGCAAGTGGCGCCACCTTCATTGCGTATAAATCGTGAGGACCAACGCACCGAGCTTATCGGTCATTTTAGAAGCTGACAGCTGCAATATGAATAAGAGGCTTCCGTCGCAATTTTAGCTACGTAGTCAGCATTGCCAATGCGCAGTTCACAAACTCGGAGGGGGGAACCTCAACCCTAACTATTCGAGTTTCGGAGCATCAACCGGACACAATTGGACCTTTTTGGTTAAAAAGTGTCCGAAGTTAGCTGGATTGTTGCTGAAATTTATGACCTTGTGACACAGCCATTCACACAGGAAGATTACTGCATTCGTTTGTTGAGCGCTACTTCAAACTGATGCAGTGATGTACAATTTGATTTAATCCATCCGATTTTGTTGCACTACCTACCTACCTGAACATCTAGAGCTTCTTTGTATTTCTTTTGCTTTTCCAGTTTTTGCTTGTGTTCCATCAGTTTATCGTTAGCCAACTGATCGACCAATCGTTTCTGTTCATTCCTTTCTTGATACATTCGGTCGTCTGCTTCCTTCTTTTGCCTGACTCGCTTCCATTCCGTTTGTTTATCTAGCTCGGCACTAAAACCCAAGAAAATATTCGATGGTAGATGACCGTGTATCGTTGCGTACACATGGTAATCAGGAGTTCTGCGTCAACCCAGTAGTCATGTGAATAACATCAGTTTCATTTCGTTCCATGAAAACATTTAGGGAGTCAGGGGGAATCAAGTTTGCTTCAAGGATGAAGCTGGTGAAGATACATTACCGCCATGTTACCATTTGTTTTCACGTTTTTATGACGTGTATATGGGTGCTTCCAAGCTTGTAAAGTATTAAAAGACACAAGGTAGACTGAAAGCAAATTGGTTGAGCTAGGAAGGTCTGAAACAACAGTTCTGATGTAAGTGGAAAATTCCCATTTCATTATCAAGAACGAAAGACCGAGGGTGAACAATTGTTTTCGATGATTCATCTTCAGACCTGTAATTACCAGGTAAAGTTTTCCTTTGGATAAAAAGCTTACTTGAGTTACGCGAACTGTTATTGATGAGACATCTTCAGGGAGAAATGGAATCTGGTAGACATGACCGTAAGATCCGCTTCAAAATAGAACTAATGAGCCCAGTACTTTTGCCTGCTATGCTGCATTCAGATAGGGGCAGCAATTTCAATGAGTAGGCCAATGTTAACATTGAATATGAAAAAAGAGAACGGTCATACACCTCGTCATTGGACGTTGTAGTGTACCGAAAAACACCCTCTTTCAATATTTTGCAACACTGGATTTTACGGTTGTTTTAACCTTCAAAACTTCCAGTTGTTTTTCTGACGACACATCCGTTGACACAAATCGTTTTGGTGAGGACCTTGCTACACCGTTTCTCGCTCTGGCTGATTTGCTTCCTATTGTTGTAGCCTTCACAATATATGTTGGGTTCAGTCGCCACCGACTTCTATACTGTCTGGTAGTTGATATGTCTTACGTGTCATTGCTTACCGACTAGTATCCCAGGCTCCGCCCAACAACTTATGCAAACAACGAAGGCAAGGGTCATGGTGATAGAGTTGGGTTTGATGGCAATAGCTGTTATGTGGTTCATTTGACAAATAAGATACTTGAAATAGGCTCGAATTTCTTCGAAAAAGTACAAAAAGTTGTTAGCACAACTGCATTAGGCGCACTAGCTGTGTAGATGGAAGATATCCTGGCGCGCCTAACAAATGTTCCGTTAGGGGAACAAAATGTCTTACCATCTGAGTGTATTTCGCATTTAACGCCCAACATCAAAGTTAGTTTTATTCTCATGGTTACAACTCGTAAAGACAAGACAACAGTTATGTTACGTTAGTCTACATAAATGAAAGATGCAAAACAGCGTTTAAAACGGGCATTATGCCCTATATACTAAAATCGTAATAATAAGGATAAGCAAGGTAGAGACTGTAGCTAAGGACGACAAGCAGACGAAGAATTAGGATTAGTCGAATGGTGTTAAAATATATAAGAATTCAGTCTTGTCAAGGAATTGCATTTATCCAACAACATATTTTAATTTATAACGAATAGCATCCAAATACCTCGAAATCCTGGTATTACTTTAGAGCACTTTACAGCATCAGCCGATTGTCGCCAACAAGCTACCTCATTTTTCGCCTAATTGTATCCTTTAGATCTCTATTTCTGTTGACCTTTTTATTCTTCCATCTAAGCCATCTGAAATGCTTACTATGTCACTATAGTGGCTGTATGTAAACAGCAATTCAGCTGCTTTGGTTTCTTTCCATGAAAGCGAGGGACTAAACTTAACTTTACTCCGATAAGGAGCTCCTATTTCCATTGCGCCCTATCCACCCGTTCATCGCGATATCCACTGATCCATAACAGCAGTTCAAATAATTTGGATGCTTTGAATTTCTCCACCCATGTTAGCTCTCCATCCTACTACACTTATCAATGGCATTACCAACAAGCGTGAACTGTTAACTTTGACACTGAGGCAGTTGTGCATTAGTGGCTGTGATATTAAAGTACGATTTGAAAACACCTGTTCATTAAAGCACCGTAGTTCTGTGCTTTTCTCGTATTCTGAAAGTGGACACTTTTTCAACCCATCAATGTGTCAACCGTTAATGATAAGGCCGCAAGTTCCATTCCCAGCTCAGGATGGCTTCACCTTATGAGTCCAGACGAGGAGGAAAGCGTCGGTTCTGGGATGTCAGTGTTGGGTAGAGCAACACAGAAGCACCTACATTTCGCATGCGGTCATCGTGATCGGAATGACCAGGGTCTACTTCATAGTGAACCGAGGTCTCAACGGAAATTGGACGTCTTGATCGAACCACATGATAGATACTCCAAACGCAACGTTAAATGTTTCAACCCACTTGTGAAGTCTACATGTGATACAAAGGAGTTGAATTCTTTCCCGGTTTTACTTACCGCAATGCATCCTGTCCAGTTCCTTTCAAAGGAGTGCAGGGACGATGAAGCAGCATGTCAAAAGAGCTACTTTTTCCATTCTCTTGCACATCTCGACACTTGTGCTCATCAATTACGGCCAAATTGTAGGCAGCTTGTGCTTCGAGTCTCTGCTTCTTTGTGTCTGCGTATTCCTATCGCAAAAATACGAAAGGTTACTCTTGTGGTCGATTTGGATGGAAACCAACTAGGTGCTCATTAACTTCAAGTTCATCCTTCATTCACTTTGCTCAGTCACTAAGTGACCTTACCAGATTCTTACATATCATTTGACATTCAGTCATGAGACGGACAAATGCTTTATTTAGGAAAGCATTGTATACTACATATGCAACAGTAATTCCTACAAACTGGCCGCAAGCCAGTATCTGTCCTAGAATGCACAACTGAAGCAGCTTGTTTCCGGTACTCGATCTACGATGCAAACGGAACAAGTACTTGACAACCACTTAATCCATAAACCTGACTGAGTGTCAGAGCTACATCCGTTAAACTGTCAAGGTAGCAATAGGATCCTGTAGCAAAGAAATAAACGCGTCTTCAGTTGAAACACATCAGTATCAGAGTGACCGTGAAGATAATGCGAATGTTTTACCTATACATGTTACCATAGTCAGGCAATAGGTTTCTGTGCTTTTTGAAATGCTAGTACGTGGTTTACGATTCCCGCTTGCTTTCCCGTACCAGATGTCTACTTTTACTCGCGTCAATTTATTGTTTCTCTACACGGTGTATTGGTTGGTAGACGAATACTCCCGCTGGCTTTTTGCTTCCCACATCCCTTGTGTGTTGTTGTATGGAATTCATTTTCAGTGGCCACATTTGTCTTCCTTTTCCGGTATTCGATTTAGTGCCCACATTGAGACTGGTGTCTATCAGTCATATAGTGCTAGGGTGTAGTTGAGGACTTTATACTGAGTTTGCGATGGTTCTTCACACAACTGACCTGTATCGTGCCGTATTGGTGTTTTGTTACTCCACTTTCGGAAACCGGGGTTTTTGCCTCCAAGAAAAAGCACTAAGAAGTAGGTGCCCGGACAGTAATTGCTAGACCTAAGCACATAGAAAGAAACTCCAAAGTTAGAACACGGTCGCGTTGCCGGTAATTGGCCATTGTAGTACGCTAGTGCAGGAATTCTTCCATTTTTCGGGCTGCGGAACCCATTTTAGTGGAAAATTGCACGGCGGACCCCTGAAATATTGCTAACCACAAGACTAGACTTTAACAATATGAAAATGAGGCCGAGAGCCTTGAAAACGTCCATCACTCTACATTAAATATACAAGAGTGTTCATTACGTTTCGGTAGGATAAACAGTGCACATTAATCCTTAACGTGCGGGATAAAATTTTTGCACCCGCAGCACTGACTTTTTCTATGTTTGCTGTTGTTGAGAAAAGTTGCAACCTTATACCTGGTCCTGTTTCGAGCCTGTTGAAGCACTGATTTTTATAAAGTGTAATGCGAAGATGCATTTTCACAAATGGAAGAATCACAAGGACAGTTGCGCTCCCCCCCATGACAAGGTACTCCTCCTTCTTTTTACACCAGAAAGCAGCCAGCGACAGTTTGTGACACTATGCCTGTAGGGAAGAATCTTTTCTCATGTCAATGAATTTCTCATGCTAAATGGATGTGAAAGGAGAAAGCTTTTTCACGCAAGTAAATGGGTTCTCAAACCATGAAATTCATTCCATTTTTCTTCATTTTTGCTATGGAAATACTGCGATGAGACGTCTACCTGATGTTGTGAATACTGCACAGTATCCTCAAAAAGAAGCTCTGGAAGTTCTGCGCATAAGCCTGTCTCTACTAAAATGTGTTTTAATGCCGAAAAGCCGTCAAGAACTCCATTGCGAAAAGAAATCGCATAAAATACCAGATTTTTTGAAGCCTCGTAGTTTATAATTTGCGTTGAATATGGTCGCATATTTTCCGTGCAACGTTAGGTTTACTTTATTTATTTTCGCGAAAATATCAAGCAAATAGGCAGGTCTTGCGAACCATCCTCTATCAGTCATCAGAAACTGTAAAGCAGGTTGTTGATCCGTGAAGAAAGCGTAGACTTCCTTGCGAAATTTTAACAAACACTGTAATATTTTGCCACGGGATGGTCATCTTACTTTAGTGTGGATCATCATTAAGGATGTGTGCACATGGCCCGTCGTCACACGGAATAGTTAACATTCAGCTGTTCAGCTGCCGAAAATTAATGAAATTGTTTATTTTGACTTCCCCCTCGAGGACAGTTTTGTAATAGGGTGGCATTCTTTTGCGGCAAGTGCCCGTTGATGAAAATTACATTGGCTACTCTTGTGTAGGTTTGTGCAAATGTTTCGCCACTTCTCACAACAGCAGCGACCATTTCTGTCATTGCTTTGACATCATCGATGCAAATGTCGATGCGGTTGTCCCATGGAATGTCGGTGTGCATAAACTTACCCATGACATTGAACATCTCAGCACCACTAGTCTTCCTCTCACAAGTTCATACAAAAGAGCGTCTTCTTCTAGGGGTAGTTGGTATTTGTATCTTGCAAGCAGAAGAAGCACAGCCAGCCCTGCCACATCTGTCGGCTCATCCATTTGAACAGAAAAATTAATATACCTAATACGTGAGGTTGATCCCTCCTTAACAGCAGTTGCTGGTGTCTTAATTCTTCGAGATACCGGATCATTTGATAGTGGTAGTAGAGAGTTGTTTTGCTGGTTTTTCATCCAGCTGGTACCTAACCACCTCGACTGCACATGGCTTGAGAAGTTTATCGGCTATGGTGTGTGGTTCTCCTGCCAGAGCAACGCGAGAACATATATAATACGCTTCAGTATCTTTTTCATTTACAGACTGAGACGCTTGATGCACGTACTTTTGGGTGTTCTACACTGCGTCCCGTTGGCCCTCAATGTACTTCATTTTTCTGCCTTTACATTTCGCATGATTACTGTTCAAAAGTCCACCGCATTTTTACCTACACCATAGGACTGTGCGGAAGCACCTCGTTACATAGGACACACTGTGGGTAATTGCTGGACTCTATAAAAGCAAAGCATATAAATATCATAGCAGTTACGCCTCTCAACTTCTGGTACAGTGGCTAAGGGTGGCACAAATTTAGGTTACTGCACATCAGGTAGTACACGTACACCGAAGGTTCCAGTTTATGTATTCCTGGAAGGCACGTTAGACGGCTCAAATATCACTACAGCTAAATTTGACGCAGTTAATAATGTTATTGTCTTCAGCCAACCGTCCACGTGAATGTCATGCGTACAAATGCTTAAATGGACATAAGCGATTCAACACAAGTGTAGAGAACAAACCTGAAATTGGATTCCCAGGAAAAGTTGAACTTCGAATGAAGTATATACTAAGTAGAACAGCTACCTTTTATAACAACGCAGAGGTAGTTTCTCTGCAGTGCTCAAAGTCAGATGAGAAGGCTGAGGTTCACCTAAAAGTGAACCGAGATCTCAAAAGAGACTGTGTCGTAATCGGACCACACAGTGGGTTCTCCAAATCCAATTTTTAAATGAACACGTGTAAAATTCTGCAATACCCCTTTTTCATTCATGACTTCCTTGGGTGAGAACGCGCCCATGGGGCCTCTATTTCCAACTTGTCGATTTTGCTGAATAGCAAATATCAAAATGTCCAAAAAAGTGCCTTATTATTTAATTTTCGTCGCCCCAGAGAGATAGCCTGGGTTATGTGAGCTTGTGTGGACGCAGAAGCATTCATCTGTCCACTACCTATCGTGCGACGGTGAGGTTATCCAACGAACTTTCAGACATTTGATAGCTTTTTCACTCACATTTTGAGTATCACTTGAACCCAGGTTCCTTCTTGGAGGCATGGTGTTCTACATGGGCCATTCACAAGGTTAATGTGACCGTCAGATATGATTTAACAAATATTCACTACAAGTTTGTTATCGACCGATGCACTAACGGCATTATAACATTTCGGGAAATCCCGTGTACCCCTTAGGGGACCGCGGACCACAGCTTGAGAAACAGTGTCCTAGTGTGTCATCTTCTGAACCGCTGCTTTGCGATTGGCTTACCGAACAACCTCCACCTGGTCCCACCTGGTTGGTTGCTATGGCGCGCAACAGACAGCAATATGGTCTTTCTTGTTATGTCGTATCCTCTATTATTTCTTTTAAATAAAAATACCAACACGGTCTACGTGAAATGCCATAAAAGAACTGTTGTTCTCTGTTTGGTCTACCGCACTTTTATTCGCTTTCATTATCCCTGGGAGCCTGCTGGCACATTGTCGGTTCTCAGATATATATATATATATATATATATATATATATATATGACTTCTCCAGGATGACTTTCGAATGACAGCGAGCAACTGACCCGTGCATTCATGTCTCCGGCGATCCCCTTAACATCGCACTTTTCGGCTTTATTTCAATGCTGGCAGACTCTGCGATAGAAGCCGTTCTTAGACGATGCACAACTGCAGTCGGTTGGGTCGTAGGTAGAAACCACAAAAAAGCTGCATCTCTGTGCGATGCCTATAGATATTACACAAATCTTGAAGTCGTACTGCATACAATCGGCTGTTAAACCAGTCGCGCAGAGACGCCTCAGCTTTTGCACTCAAAGCGACGGCAACACGAGCCAGACCAGCTGCAGTAGCCTCAGTGTCACCAGACAAATGTAGGGAATATTTGCTCTTGAGATCATCAGGTGACAACAACCTAACCAAGGTACTGGAGTCCTGCAATCGAGTCTCTGAAAGACAACAGACATCAATAACGAGGAACTCCAAAGTGCGCACTAGGCCGACTTGTTTTCCGATCTGCATAAGGGATCTATCGTTGAAGGCCTGCAGCCGACATGGAGATCAAGGAGAAAGGAGGGCTACTGATCGGGCTCTTTGAACATGGGCGAGACTGTCCAGACGAGATTGATACAAAGGAATTTTTGACGAGGATAAGATTGGTGTGTGCTGGAGGTGCGCAAGAATTCAGAAGCATAATTGGACGACATAGCAGCAATAGTAGAAGTAGCAGTAGTAGTAGTAGTTGCGAAACCCGTTGTTCTGTCAGCGGGCAAGATACTACCCACTTGCCCAAGCCGAGTTAGGTAGTTATCTTATAAAGTTAGGGACCTAAC